TAATTAAGCATTTCACTGTTTTATAGTGCTTTAATGCTGCATATGTTTTGATTGCTAATAAAGCAATTAATTATTAATGACAAAATACTTTGCTCCATCTTATAACTCAAATGCTTTAACATGTGATCATAAACTTGCCTGCTGTAAAGATCTCAAACTTTGAGCTTGCTTTTTGACTTAGAGTTTCAAGGCACTTCCCCAGTTCGCATCAATTTTCTTGCACTGCTGTGTCTTGGCCTGATTAATAACAATGGTTTTTATTTGTGACGTGAATGGATAAGTCACATGCACTTCATGATTCTAAATAGTCATATACCTTAGAGGGGAACTTAGAATAACTATTTATAGCTTTGAGGTACCTGTCTTAACAGCTCCTCATTGAGTTGTAATGGCTTAAAAGAAGATACTTCTCCATTTTTCTTCTCAGAGTTTTGATTCACTACGTCCACAGGCAAATGTTTTCATTAGGAAGGAGGAACACTAATGCTGACTGAGTTTACTGCATCTTGCTGCTTTTTGAAAAAGCTACTGAGGGCTTTTAATTAGAGATACATTTTGTAGGATCTTCTAAATAATCTCATTCTAATGACTGTTTGCATAGTATTTTTGTAGATCCCTTTTGAACTTTGTCTTCTGTGTAAAAGAACATACTGTGTGGGTCTTTCTTATGTGTAACCACTGAAGCTACTTAAAATGCATTGAAATCTATTTAAATGGTGAGCTGTTCTTCCAGCTTTTGTCTCTTTTGGTCATATTTTTTGTTTGAAAGTTTGTGATAGCATTTCCAAGTAGCGAAGGAATGGATTATTTGTCATTGTTGATTGCTGTCATTCACTTCCGAAACGTATTCCTGTTTAAGCTGTTGTGTAATGTTGTAGTTGGGAGTCAGCAGCTCTCCCCTGAGCAAGTAGTGCTTCAGTCTCTGTGCTGGTTAGCAAAAATGAAGAGTTCTTCATTGCCTGCTTGAGTTACTGCAGACTTTTCCATGGTTGTAAGAGTGAAAATGTACACAATGCTTGAATCTGTGTTAACTAGGGTATCTAGGCTACCTGTTGGAATAAAACTAAGCCAGTAAATAGTGGTTTAGATGCACTATTCACTGTGTGGTAATTTCAGTTTTTTGTCATCTTACAGTAGTTGGAGGTTTCTCAAAGTGTAAATGTCGTTGCTTTCATTTTTTGGCTGTAACTTACATAACTGTATCTGTATTTCAGCACAGTGCCCTCTGTGCTACAGTAAACAGAGCTTATACCAAGTTAATCACATTCAGAATGCAGAATTTTCATACTGATGGAGATTTCTCCACTAGAGTTTAACAATGAAATTGTGGGGGAACAGAGTCCTTTGTAAACCAGTCCCTGATTGGGGGGGGAAAATGCTCAGGTTTTTGTTGCTTAAAAAAACTTCAGAATCAAATAGCATTGTCCCCTTAATTTATCATGTTAAAAGGACAGGAAAAAGTGTGTATAGGCTGGACGTGGAATATAAGATGGCAAGTTATGACTGTGTTCAAAGACAATAAGCTTCCTGAATAAAATAATATTTTTCCCCCAAATTGAAATATTTTGTGGATTTTCTAAAAAACACTTGTGATGAAATACAGGGTTATTGTGGGACAGTCTGGTTTGCTTTTGGACTGTGGTGAAGATTGACTGTACTGAGTGTTACATTTCTGTAAAACGGTGGTTTTACAGAAATATACTGTAAATATACAGTAATATACTGTAATATACAGCAAAAATCCTGCCTTAAAGGTGACCTTGTGAGGATGAGAGAAAGGACTGTGCACTGCTTGTTCTCTGTGTGTTTGGAACAGGTTTGAATGCAGAATTCCTCTCCTTGTTAGAAATTCTATAAAATGGAAGCCTTGGTCTTAATTTTTGCAATGAAAGATGTGTGAGGGTATAGACAAGCATAGGGGGAGTGTGAGAGCTGGTGTTTTCCTCAGGAGCTGTCAGGAGCAGAGAAGGGTAGATAGCAGAATTCCACAGCTCTAACTGTTGTCCTTGTTTGCTTCCACTCTTAATGTTTATTCCAAGTTCTTTTCCAATTTTTGAACCTCATTTTTTCAGTACTAAGAAAGAAGGTAGCCTGATATACTGCATTCCACAACAACTTACTGCTAGAAAAAAAAAAGCTGTGCTTTAATGAATTGAAATGAAGAGCCTGTCCTGTTGTCTTGACTGACAATAAGAGGTTTAGTCCAGCTTACACACCGTTAGCTTTTGACTTTGATGGAAGACATACCAACCTGCTGTGATTCAAAAGAGAACAGCAACACTTTTCTACTTATCTCAGGATACAGGCCCACATTTAACAATTGTTAGAGATGTTTGTAGGACTTCCAAATGGGTCTTTTCAGCTGGGGTCCTAGGATCCAAAAGATCCTTGATCTCCAGAAAGATCCAATGATCTTATGGCTTCTTCAGATTATAGTACCGCAGCATATATGCCTTTTGCTAAACTTTTATTTCAGATTACATCCCATGAAGTAGTAGATTAGTTGCTTATGGCTATGAAGAGAACACAGGCTACCTGGGATGATGCATCAGTTTACACCCTTTGCAAACTGAAATAAGTAATTCTTTGGGGTCTCTTAGGAACCGCCAGCTCACAGCTGCTCCTGGATGCATCAGTTAGTGGAACAGTCTAGAAAACTTTGATTTGAATTTGTTCTGTAGTCTCAGTCTTGTAGTGCTTTTTTCTATGATAAATGAGAGCTATAAATATTAGCACTGGATGTAAGAATGCACTGGCATTTTGGAGATTCAGGCAGAAGATTATGGATCTGAATTAGGCAGTGCTGCTTAACTTACCATAGATCAAAGAATCATCATGGGATTGTTTGGATTGGAAGGAACCTTAAAACTCATCTACTTCCAACCCCCCTGCCATGGGCAGGGACACCTTCCACTAGACCAGGTGCCAAAGCCCCATTTAACTTATCCTTGGACACTTCCAGGGATGGGGCAGCCACAGCTTCTCTGGGCAAACTGTGCCAGGGCCTCACCACCCTCTCAGGGAAGAATTTCTTCCCTTTAACTAATCTAAACCTGCCTTCTTTTGGTTTGAAGCCATTCCTCCTTGCCTGTCCATGCTCATGTCCACAGTCCCTCTCCAGCTCTCTTGGCCCCTTTATAGGTACTGGAAGGTGCTGTAGGGTCTTCCCAGAGTCTTTTCTTCTCCAGGCTGAACAACCCAGCTCTCTCAGCCTGTCTCTGTATCAGAGGTGCTCCAGCCCTCAGAGCATCTTCATGGCCTTCCTCTGGACTCACTCCAGCAGCTCCACATCCATCTTATGCTGGGGACCCCAGAGCTGGACACAACGCTTCAGGTGGGGTAGAGAGGGAGAATCTCCTCCCCTGACCTGCTGGCTGTGCTTTTTTTGATGTAGCTCAGGATACAGTTGACTTTCTGGGCTGCAAATACATTGCCAAGTCATGTTGTGTTTCTCATCCACCAGCACCCCCCAAGTCCTTCTCCTCAGGGCTACTCTCACTCCATTGTCTGCCCAGCCTGGATTTGTGCTTGGGATTGCCCTGGCCCAGCTGCAGGACCCTGCACTTGGCCTTGTTGAACTTGGTCAGGTTTGCACAGACTCTCCTGTCAAGGTCTTTCTGAGTGGCTGTTCTTGCTGATATGTCAGACTTTTTTTGACTCCATGCAGATTCCTGCTGTGCTGCTCAAGGAGTCCCATTTCCCTTTATGGTGTAGTTGCATGTGTTTTCTTAAGCAGTTCTGAACTTTTGGTAGTTCAGCACAACTTGTTGTGAGTTGGGTGTAGCCGTTGGTGTGCTTATGTGATGAACTGAACTGGTGTCTGATCTTGTTGGAAAACCTGTTTTTCAGATTGGTGAGCTCTTCATTCTGGTTCAGTGAATAAATATTCCTTCTAGAAGGGCATAGGAGATGTTTCTTCAAACAAGTGAGAGGGGGGAGAAAAGAGGGAACACTTAACTGCTGAAGTAGTACAGCTGTCAAGTATCTACTATAAGCTTATGCAGTTGAGGTATAAAAACATGGTATTAGTTATAGTAACAAATATTTCAGTGGTTCTCACAGTGGGAACCAAATGCTTGTATCACCTCCTGTTGGAACATTTTAAGAGAAGGCAGAGATGCCAGATGAAGCAGGTGGAAGGTGGATATATTACTGGTGTTACTGTTGTCTGTGTCTCAGTAGCTTTCTAATGCCAAAGTTATTCTTTTAAATAGTCTTTGAGGGTAACGTTGTATTGTTGTACATTGGCAGGTTTATATTTTGGCAGGGAGGGGAACCTGCCTGGTACTGACTGTTAAGGGAACATGATAGGATATGCTCAGTTTGTGTCATAGGATGGAGTGACAAGTACATGGACTGAAAATAGCTTGGTACACTGTAGTGCCAGTGTCTGGTGTTTCTTAAAGATACTCTAGGTAATAAATGGGTTTCTGTTACTTTGCCCCAAAAATAATAAAATTTCAAAATCTCTCCTATTTCCTTCCTTTTCATGTCAGAAAAGAACCATGAATTATGAATAATTGATTTTTATAGTTCAGTTGCCACCATACAACACCACCTATTGTGTTGAAGTATTTACTGTCCATATGTACTGCTGTAGGGGAAGATGTGGGCCTTATTTAAGCCTGAAGTTTAGTTGATGGCTGTTGGAGCTATTTAGCCAAAACTTTGGTCTCTTCTATAAGCAGTGGCCTGTAAAGCTCCCATGCTTAAGCATTGGTAGAGCAGATACCATACATTTTGCAGATGACATACATCAACATTTTCACTGACTACAAGAACTTCCTTCAACACAAGTTCTGAGAGTTTTGTCTTCATGAAAAATGACCTTGTCAAGCAGTATTCTTAATATTTTGAAACAGTTGTATTTTGGTTACTGCTGTTTTACTGTTCCCACTGGGGGATTAGTCTTAGCAGTAAATGGGCTTTCTCTGATTTCAGTTTTGCTTTTGAAAAATCTCATGCTTGCTTTCTTGATGCTTATTTGTTTTATTTTCTAGGCCTTCCTTAAATCTTTCCATGTCTGAATGGACTCCTGAATGTAATATAGTCTATACTCCAGAAGCGGATATGAAGAGTGAAGTTCCTTCTGATGCACCAAAGAGCCAGGAGAGTCTGAAGGGGATCCTCTTGAACCCTGAGCCTATTGGGGCGGCCAAAAGCTTCAGTGCAGAAGTTGAGATGATTGCCAGTAAAGTAGGGAATGAGTTCTCCCACTTATGTGGTGACTCTCAAAAGCAGAAGGACATGAATGGCAACCATACAGACCAAGAAAAAAGTATTGTGCGAAAAAAACGCAAGAGCCAGCAGGCTGGTCCTTCCTACGCTCAGAACTGTCCTGATAAGGAAAACAAAGGAATCTTGGGATTGAGGCAGCATCTAGGAACACAGAGTGAGGACAATGACTCTTCTTTTAGTGACTGTATCTCTTCACCTTCTTCTAGCTTACACTTTGGAGACTCTGACACAGTAACATCTGATGAAGAGAAGGATGCTCCTGTCAGACACCCTCAGGCAGTGCTGAATCCTGTGAGCAGAACTCACAGTGCCCGGTCACACAAGTGGCCTCGCACTGAGGCAGACTCTGTGCCCGGATTACTCATGAAAAGGCCCTGTTTTCACAACAGCTCTTTAAGAAGGCTCCCATATAGGAAAAGAGTTGTGAAAACAGGCTCATCCCAGCGGACACAGAACCAAAAAGAGCGGATTTTAATGCAGAGGAAAAAGCGGGAGGTGCTGGCTCGCAGGAAGTACGCACTGCTGCCCAGCTCCAGCAGCTCCAGCGAGAACGATCTCAGTAGTGAATCTTCCTCCAGTTCATCTACTGAAGGGGAGGAAGACTTATTTGTGTCACCTGGTGAAAACCACCAGAACACTACAGCTGTTCCTTCAGGTAAAGCTAAATCCTGAGTTATTTTTTATTAGTTGTCTTTCATCGTGCACAATAGTCTTTTGTAAGTTCTTTAGAACTGTATTTGTGGTTTTGTAGAAGTTAATACTACAAATAGACTTACTGCAAGTAATGTGAAGATTACAAGATAAATTCTGATGGGAAAAGTACATTCAGAGCTTACAGTAGAATTGCAACAAATCTAAAATCTTGAAGGTAAAAGTTAATGGTTTCTGAACAATGTACTGGAAGGTTGCTCAGTCTGATTAGTCACATGCTGCTGAGCTGATCCAATTTTTTTAGCTGCTGAACTGTATTAATTTTAGCTATTACAGCTTTGGTAACTGACTGTGGTAATAACAATTCTGTTTTCAGAACATAGAAATATCTGCTAGTACTTAACTGCATTTGAAAATGTAGAAAGCTATGAAGAAAAAAAAAGTTCATTGTGGTAAGAACCTGAAGTAGGAGGCAGTTGAATAAAACTATTGTATATATATATCACATTTTACCTAGATAAACCCACTGCAGTGATCTTGCAGTTGGTTTACACAGTTGCTTCTCGAGTGTATCTTGACACATATCTGAATGCTTCAGTGTTTGGAGGAGGACTTCGGGCAGGGGGGATGTGTTTGGTTTTGTATTGTTTTCTGGGTTTATTTTTATGGGTTTTTGTTTGGTTTTTTTTGTTCATTGATGTATTTTCTTGGCCTTCCTTTCATCTTAAATTCGCCAAATGAAAGTAGCTGTGCATTTTTGTTTATTAGTTTAACTTTGTATAGAGCATGGGGAAGTAGATAGAACACAGCATGGTGTTAATTTGTGCAACCATGTGTTTTATATAGTGACAAATATGTTTTAAAAAATGAAACCGTGTCTCAGACTGTGCTGATCATTCCTCATTTCCTTCTGTGACTGAAAGTACAAGGACAGGCTTAAAAAAAAAAGGTGTGAATGTTCATGTTAATGTAGGATTTGTGCTTGAACAGAACCAGAGTCCTAAATGTAAATTATTGCTTGTTATTCATTGCAGCAAGAAATAACTTGTATGTTGGTCTTCAATGTGCTATTTAAATACAAGAAGTAAAATCTGTAATGTCAAATTCTTACTTATGCAGTGCTAGGGCTGCATATAGAACTCTGAAGCAGAAGAATTATTGCACAGCCTTAATTATCTTGATGCATATTTGTGGGGACAGAAATTAATTTTTGAAGCCTAAAAAAGTTACATTTGACATGTATATTTAAGCACATTGAAGAATATGATTTGTAAATAAAAAATGTGTGGGGATATGCACACATTTATATTAAAAAACAATTTGGGGAAACTCATGGTAACACCTCTGTTTCCAAGTTAATAGTTTCTTATCATTTTCAGAGAGGGTGGAGTTTCATGTAACTGTAAAATGATGTAGGACATTAACAACTCTTTCCACACAGAAATGGAAAAGTCTGGTGGCTTAATTTTTATACTGCTTAAAAGCACACTGAATATACAAAATTGTTTCTTTTCATGTAATGAATGAAAATCCATACAGTTAATTTTAGATTAAAATACTGACATCAGTTGTAACTGAAAGAGGATCTGCTTTAAAAAATGTGTTCTGTGGTGACTGTACTTCAGCACTGACACTTGCAGTGAGCTCAAAAGCAGTTCTGGTTTAGTGTGTGAGTACTGTGGGTTTTTTCCTAGTGGAAATATGTATTGATGGAAAGTTTTGAGTATTTTATTTACATTGCAGATAGAATGGGAAGTTGAGCAGACATCCTGTATGAAAGTGCCCTATTTTTAGCAGGAAAAAAATGTGATTAACATTTTCTGTAGCTTTTCTGCTGTTACATAAGGCATTTCTAGTTATTGAGTTAATTAGGACAGAAATGGGGCCAGCTGGAAAAATAGCTGTGCAGCTTCTCTGTATAGTGAGCAAGCACGATGGGGTTCTGTAAGAGGAAAGAGTTGTATTGATAGTAGTGCTACACTGGCTTGTTAATGATAGGGAAAATATTTTTGCTCTCCATTGACATTTGTGCATCTGCTGAAATGACAGAATATACTGAAGGACAAATAACTTCTTCTAAGAATATGAGGCCTGTGGCATATATGTAAAAGTACTAGAGGACAGACTTAGGAAAGGAGGAGAGAATAAAAATAGTAATAATAATAATCAGAAAAAAACCACAATTAAAAAGGATGTGGTAATTGACTTTTTAATAAGCAGGCACCAAAATGATGCGATTTCTCTTGTAGCCTACGGAATGGCAATTTTTATTGAGAATATGTCAAAATATGGCTTTGCTTTGAATTTGGTGTTTATCTAAAGATACAGTGCATTTAAAGAACACTAATTAGTGTATACTGTTTTGGAAAACATTTCTGATTGTTGCAAGAAATTAAAGTAACAAATCTTTTGGATCAAGGAAGTGTTTAGTAGGTTGGTTCTTGTAGTTAATAAAACTAACTTGGCTAATTTCAGAAAATCATACGGATGGAGCTGTTTAGGGGGATTGTTTGTTTGTTTAACAAAACCTTTACCAAAAAACCCTCCAAACAGCACTATATAGGATTTTTCCTCCTTTTCCAACAGGGTTTTAGCTATTCTTCTGGTGAAACTTTGTGCTTTGGCAGTGTGAGAGTATTGAACAAGTATGTTCTGACACCTGGGAATGGGTTATATTGTTTTACCAACTGTTTGCCACAACAGGCAGTGCCCTCATTAAATCTGGGATGAGCAGCTGAAGCTCCTTCAGGAGACAAAGGGGACTTGGGGGCATAAGGACAATGTAGAACCCCTTGTGTGTAGTTTAATGATACAGCTGAAGGTGCAGGTGCTTTTAGGGGTGTGTATTCTAACTGGAATGTTGATCACTGGATTTTAATTGCAATACTGAGCTCACAATTGAAATGACAGAAAGCAGCAGCGTTTTTGCTGCAAAACAAATTTTCATTCTGTGTTTTGTTTAGGTAGTGCAGAAGCTTTTCTCTAACCCTCTGTACACACTTACAGAGATAATCCTCTTTTGACTTTGCTTTTGAAAGGTGGCAAAATTTCAACTTTTACTGTAGTTGTATCTCTGTAATGTTTTAATTCTTCTACTGGTATTTGATTTTCATCTTGGATCTAAAGGGATGGGGGTGCAGTTTTTGCAGGGAAATCTAGCAAAAGCTAAAATTGGAACAAGTTTTTAGCCTTACTCTGATTTGGCAATAAAGCAAAACTCTGGAAAATGGGAAGGTGGTGTTGTAAAATCTGGGTAGAGTTTTGCATTGTCATAAGATGTTCACCTAATAGCACTTATAATTCTTTTGGGGCCTGACATGTTGTTTTATATTTTTGAGCAACTAGTGCTAGACAGGTTTCCTCTTTCCTTAGAGTGTAATGCTGATGAGAAGCTACTCCAGATTTTGTTCAAAGCTGCTTAGAATTATAAGACTGAGTTTATTCACAACTGTCCTCTTGATCCTCTAATGTATTTGTTGTTTATCTCCCCAAAAATGTTGAATATGGACATTTGATATTTCACAAGCCAGAGGCTGATGAAAATGTTAAGCATATACCACTTTATGTTCAGGTTATTTTAACAGGTTTAAGATAAACAGGTATTAAATGGAAATGAGCTACCTGTTGTTAAAGTTGATTATTTTTCAGTTCCTTAATCCCTCCTGAAGGGAGTAACTGATGCAGCTCATAATTCCAGGCTGTTATTCCAATAGCATTAGTGGATAAGGAAAGGAATAAGTATCCTGTTTACTGTACCACTTACTGGAGAAGGGTCAGGGAAGAACTGGGAAGTGGTGAGGGAAGAAGCACCTGGCTCTGTGAGCAGTGGACATTAATCAGTGCTGCTCTATCCATCTGCTGTGTGTTGGAGGTTTAAATAGCTCCAGTAATAAAAGTTAGTGTGGAATTCACTTCAGCACTTCCCTGTTACTGCTGCAGCTTTTTGTGCTGAGAAGATGCTGCTCCTGGAACTGGGTTGCTGTGGCATTGCCCTCTGGACTGAGATTTATGTGCTTGGTTAAGAATGGTCAGTAGAGGTCTGAATTAGCACGGCTCAGGGTTGGACAGAATCCCTGGAATTCTGGTTTTTCACCGTCTCTTCCACCAGAGTGCAGCCTCCTAAGCAATTTACGTGTCTTTGGAAAATTTCTCCCATCATGCACAGCTATTGAAAAATATATTCCAAGTAAGTCTCAGGTACAGAAAAACTGTTATCCAACACTAAGGGAAAGGCAGGTTCTTTTAGGAATCCTTGGCAGAACGTTGGCAGCACTAAATCGTAGTAACAATTAAAGCTTTGTTTTCTTAGCAGGATATTATGATTTTGTGAGTAGAATGGCACAGGATTTCTACAAGCAGAATTCAGTTGTGCATCTATAAATAGCACAACACAAAATTTATGCTACCACTTAAGTTATAATTTCCAGTCACCTGGACCCTCTGCAGATCAGGTCAAATCCTAACATGCAGTTTGCTTTATCAGTACACCGATCATAATCTAGACTCAAACTATATAAAAGAACACGAGTCACTCACTCAGTCCTCAGAGGAAGCAGATGATGATGATGGAGTGAGGGATGGGGGTCTCAGTTCTGTTCCAGCTTCCCACTTAGAACTTGGTGCTGCTTGATTTTTCCAGCCAGTGCTCTGTGTGATTTCAGCTTCCCTGTGGCGGGAAATCAACAACACCTGCTTGGCTGAGTGCCTGGGACCTCCAAGGCCAGCAGGGAAGGGAGGAATCATCCTGGTGCCCAGGAATCTTGAGGATAATGGGGGGGAGGTACAAATCTGTTTGGTTTGCCTACTTGGGTCACAGGACCTTCAGAGCCTGAGAATGAGGGAAAGCGACCAAATAATGTGACCTGCTCAGGCAGAGGGTGGCTCTTATACAATGGTGCCAGTTGTGCTAAATGTATTTACAGGGTTGAGGGCAGGGAGTACCAATCATACCTAGTTCAAGAAGTCTGAGAGTTAAATGGGGTACTCATTGACACTGGTAGGACATTATTATTTTATCCATTTCAGGCTGAAGTACTACCCAGGTAATTACCTGTAATTCAGAGCAAGAGGGGCTGTAGAGGCACATGATACCAGCAGATTTCAAAGGGATCCCACACACTTGGTGACAGCCGTCATGGGCACTGACTGGACAATGAGGTGCACTCTGACACTGTCGTGGGTGCTGTGTGGTTTGAGGGGTTTTAGTTAAAATTTGTAGTCTGAATTTCCTGCTCTGACTGCAGAGTTGTGCAGCTGGCAGAGAGAACGTGGGCCTGAGCAGGCTCCTGGTCTGATCCAGTGAAAGCTTGGAAATCAAAGTCATCCCTTGGAAGTCATCCCTGTCACTGGAACCTGAATGCTTATTTTAAAACTCTTCTAGTTTCACTTATGGCTTGATCAGACTGTCTCATTTGAAATTGTGTGTTGTAAAACACTTTCATTGTCTTACATGTAAGATTTAAACCGGTTAAACTCCATGTTAATTGCAAAACAGATATAAAAATACCCTCTATGAATGACAGCAATCAGTCAAACATAAATAACATGAGTGTAATATCCAAATTTATGTCCTTAGTGGGGTCCTTGTGTTGATGATGATTGATTAATCTCAGAGTTATGCCATGATCTTTCAGAGTTAATTAATAGTATAATTATATATATTATACATGTTATACTGTGCAAAGCTTAGTCTCTTGCTTACAACTTCTGGATTACTAAGGCATTTGATTCCAAACTTTTCTTCCCAGCAAGTTGGTCTATCAGTGGCACCTGGCAGCTGCTGTTCTGAAGTAATCTTACAACTTTCTGGGGAAAAATATACTCATTTCCTGATCTAAATGTTTGACTACAGATTATTATATCATTATAAAAGTTATATTCTTCTTAATAAAGTACTTTAATCTGTCTTTGTGATGGGGGGCCTGGAGGAGGGTGTGTTTTTTTTTTTTTTATTTTTTTGAGGGAGGATTATAATTTGGCACGTGTTCATGTTTGAATTCAAGCATGTGTAGTTTATCCCTTCTTCCAGGCTGTCTGAGCACTAAGTTTCCATCTTTTAAAGCAGAGGGAAAAAGCGTCTGTAAAGAAATCACTGATTATTTCTGATTAATAGTCACATACAAAACTTAATTAACAACTGCTGTTCAAAGGTCTGAAGTGTTGGGATATGCACAACTTGCAAACTGAAATATGGTGTTTTGCATGCACTGTAAAATACTATTTGTGGATGTGAGCAGGGGAAAAACACCCCAAATTCTGTGGAAACTGAAAAAAAATCCTAGCTGTAATTTTCAGGAGAAGTTTTGTCTTTAAGTAGTTCATTTAAACTGTAGAACAAGTCTGTCAGTGGTAGCCCAAAGGCTGATTTAGTCACAAACAAGTAGTGTATAATTTGCTTGCTGTGATTTGTGATTCAGAAGATGACAGAGAGAAGTAGTGTGTACCTGCAGGAAGATAATTTTCTGTTTGTTTTATAGCCATAGTTATTATTCTGAAAGTAGTACCAAATACCTCACATCTGCATAACTATTTTGCTGTCAACAATCTAGTGACTCTTCTCCTTGAAGGGAGATTACCTTCAAGGACTTTAGGATTAGTGTAGTTAACACTCATTATACAGATTTAGCTGCTCTCTTACAGGTTCAGTCATTTAGATGATGCATTGATGAGTAAGGTATTCATACTTTAAGATCAGTTTTGCTTGAAGTTCTTTACAGACAGAAGATGGCTGGTCAGTGACTGGTATGTCCTAAAAGCGAAAAAGTGAATTATACTTTTTCATGGTGGACTGTGGAAAACAATTGAATGAATATTTGCACAGTTTAGAGTTTTTTCTGTTTAATTTTGCAGAAAGTTCCTTGTATAGGAAAGTACTTCATGGGATGAAAACCTCATCAGTTTGTGCTTTTGACTTGGGAAGGTGTTACTGGAAGCATGAACAGTAGGAAACGTCATGTGGCTGAACTATGTCTATGCTGTGTCCTACTTGGAGAGACTTTGACTGTTTCCCTAAAGATTTTCTTTGTTATTTTGGAAATCATAAAACCTGTTCATTCAGCAGCAGTCCTGGTGGCTTCTATAGTCTGACTTGTGTAGTCTGTCAAATCCCATCTTGACTAAAGGTTTGCTTAAAAAAAAAGATTAGGTAAAATGAACTTTTAAACCTTGACAAAGGTAAGTATCTGAATTGTGTAGATATTCAGTTTAGAATTCCTTTTGGTTTATTTTCTGAAGTAACAAAAACATATTTAAGCCTAAATCTTCCCACTTTTGCACCTGTCCTAAATTTCAGTAAATATTGAGCCTGAGGACGTGTGGACTCTGAGGAGTACTCTCAAACATGCCGTAATTCGGAGCAGTGCATGTTTGGAAGGTGGGAGAAAGGCAGTTATGTTTTCCTAACTGCCTTTTCCAGCTGAAAGGCCGGCTGGTTTGATCTGAGGAGCTGTTCAGATAGTTTTGTGTAAGGAAACCGTTGTTTGCCTGTGATAGCTGTGATATTTACATTCTTCTGAATGTGAGGGTAACTTGAGCTGCTGCCCTTCACTTTGAGTAACTGGCCTTTCAATATTTTCTATTTTGGAATGTGACTTTGTTTTTTAGACACTGCATATTTTCAGTTTTCCCCAAAATTTTCATACAAGTTCTGAAAATTAATTTTATTACATACAACTGCAAAAGTTTGAGTACCAGTATTTGGAAGCATCACTCTTTCCATCTTCAGCCACCAGTCTTTCTAGGATAAGTGTGACCAGAAACAAAGGCCATTGGAAAACAAGTAATGCAGTTTGGTTTTCATCAAAATATTAAAATGTTGATATGGGGAAAAATAGATAATCTGCCCTACCTCGTCAGTGGACAGAGCAGCTGAGAACAGTCAGTCCATACAGGATGTAAGCATTGACTTGAATGAGACCAAAGTCTTCAAGCACTTTTCTTGAAGCAGTTTGCAAATAGCAGAATGGTAGTTTGTGATTTCTAAAGTATGTAGCTCATCAATTTAGGAAGTTCTTTTGTGCTCAGTGAACCATCTATAGCTCAATTTGAGTATTCTAGATAGATCAGACTTGTCACTGTCAGTGTTATAGCAGTAGGAAGGTGTTTCATGTGTCTGCATGTTAGACTGGAACTTTGATAACTATAAAAACATTTTAAAAAGCTATTAGTGATAAAACCGTTACTGCTTTGCTAGTTTGAAAGTTTATTCTGTTTTTATATTAAAAGAGTGAATTTTGTTGGTTATAAAATCTACCAATTTCTTTCAATACAGTATAATTCAAGTTTGCATACCTACCCCACACCCAGTCCTCTGTCTTCTTCCCTTTTTTACTTCAGTGTTTACAGCAGAATTGCTCCCTTTAATAACTAGGTCATATATTTGACAGCTGCACCTAAAACTTTGACATGAAATTCTCTGTCTACATGTGTTTTTAATCTAGGAAAAATAGTCTTTTATAATGCCAGCTCCTGAGAGAAATAAAGTGTGCAAACTTTCTTCTTCCTTTTTCCTCCTCAGGAAGCATTGATGAAGATGTTGTGGTGATTGAAGCATCCTCCACTCCCCAGGTCACTGCTAATGAAGAAATAAATGTTACCTCAACAGACAGTGAAGTGGAGATTGTCACAGTTGGTGAAAACTACAGGTGAGATTTGCATCTCTCTGTATTAATAGTTTTACTTATCTCCAGGTCTGTCACAGTGCTCTGTGTGGCTTAATGTCACTGAAATTCTAACCAGGATGCAGAGTGTGCACTTTTGAATAAAAAAATACAAACCAAGCCCAACAAAACAGATCCCAAACCGACAGAAAACCCCCATGACCAAACCCCAAAGCACAGCTTTGCCAAAGCTTGACAATTTCAACTAATCTGGAGTGACTGAGGTGGTTGTAGTTAATGTGACTGATGGGCAGGATTTTGGGAAAGCAAAACTGCGCAGTAAGATCCTGGAGAAAGAGCAAATGTAGACTGAGGTGACTGTCTAGGGATTAGCAGAGCATTTCTCAGGAAAGCATCCTGGTTTTTTTGAAGCAGCTCTCCTGTATGCTCTCCTGTTCTTCCATGCCTGTCTGGAAGTTTTGTTCCATATTTGTCAGATTTTACTGAATCTATTAAAGTGGAGTTCTTTGAAGAAAACTTAAAACCTGACTGAGGTCAGATAAGACACATTTTAAAAAAAGCTTTGTATCTTCCCAGCATCAATAAGAAATGTTTTCTGTGGTAGCTTTAAAAGACTTGAAAACAATTAGTTCTTTCTTCCCTTATCTTCTGCAACACTACAGCCAAAACAGTGGTAGCTCCATGGTGATTTGTGCTATGGGGTTTGTTTGTTTTTAGTGAAGTCATTCCCTTTTCTTCACATTTTCCTTTTCTGAAGTCTGAGTAAATTGTTTTTCCAAATTGGAAAATAAGAGCCATTTGATTTATGTAAATATTGAAGAGTCAAAGTTTTTTGAGAGTGAAATGGTAAAAATATTGTTCCCTTAATTAAAGACTGTATCCTACAAAGAGTGTACAGGCTCAAAGATCATTATTTTGAGTGTTTGGGTTTGTATGACTAAATTAAACAGACTGGGTGCTAAGTGTTATAATAGAGAGAGAAAACTATCACTTTCCTTAGGTATGGTTACAGGCTTATGATTTCCTCTTCTCAAGCCACATTTCAGTTTAGTTTAGGTATTACACAGAGCTATACTTCTTCTTCAAGAAGGGGGAACAAAATAATATTAGAGAGAAGTTGAGCGATTTTGAACTTCTTGGACATTTTTGAAATTTGAAATATAGAAACTGTTCTCTGAAAATACAATCTGTCACAAGTTAACAAGCAAAAGTAGGTTTACAAATTGTTATTGTCTACAGTTTTGTTGTCATTTATAGACCTGCTGTTTCAGACTGCACAGGAACAGTGTAGGATTTGGAGAGTCTTCATATACTGTTAATAAAGTTAAAACAATATCAGGTGTAATTGCTGCCTGACCATGCTTGTAGGGTTTCACAGTGAATTGTTTGCAAGTTACCTGTATGTACATGGAACAAGGAACCTTTAAACCCTGTGTTGGGTATTTGCTGTTGTGTTACGAGGCAAAGACTGCAGCAGCATTTGTGAGCACGCATCGAGAGAACATGGAGTCAGGGGCTGTTTCAATGTGACGGTGCTTTTCTGATGATTAAAAAAAGTGACTACTGGCAAAATGTAGGTCAATACTTAGTGTTAACCTTTCCTAAGGTCTCGTTCTGCACTTGGACACACAAGATCCCACTGGGGCCAGAGCTCTGGCTCTCACGCTCCACGACCTCCGGAGCAGCGGAACCGCAGCAGGATCTCCACGGTCATCCAGCCCCTGAGGCAGAATGCGGCTGAAGTTGTGGACCTCACGGTGGATGAGGATGGTAAGTAATGTGGTCAGAGAATCCTCTTGTGGCCTTCCTTTTAAAATTTAAAATTTAGCTATTTCTAGTGGGTCTGTTACATCTGATTTTTCTTCCAAAGCTGCCTTGGGTGTGTGTCTGAGAACTGACTCACCAGGCAGAAATTACAGAACAGGTTGGAACTACTTCTTGAAAAATATGCACTTAATTCAATACAGCACTATAAAAGGAAAACCCCTTGTTGCCTATGCTTTGGAATAGTTACTGTTCTTTCAGGCCTTGGAGTAAAGATGAAAAAACAAAAAAAAAAAAAGAAAGAAAAAGGCCAACCTGAAACTAGTAAAGTGTGTTATGTTTCTGAAGCTGTAATCTTTCACTGTTTCCTATCATTAAAACCTGCTGGCACTTACCAAGTCTGTTCCTGCTGAAAATCACAAGAGCAACTTCCAGGTATATTCAAAGAGTTGAGAGAAGGAAAAACTGAAGCTCATGTAGATTTTTGCATGCTTATTTTTTTGTTGATGGTGGCAGGTTTGGGGATTTCTTGGGTGCATATTACTTTTAGTGTTTTAACAGCAGTTTTGTTCTGTTGTGGTTCTGTCCCTGAGTTCATTACAAGCTCTAGTATCTTACAATATCTTATTCTTCAAGTTGACTTGATTTTTGGGGTGGGTTGGGGAGTTGGAAAGGTTTGGGAATAGTTTTGATTGGTTGATGGATTTTAAGGAAGAGGATGGGTTGGTTTACAGATTCTGTGTGGATTTACTGTGAAATATCTCAGTTGAAAGGGTGTAGGCTTCTATTGCTTTACTCTTAAAACTCAGATTATAGAATTTAAATTAATTAATCTTAAATTCAGAAACCGAATTATTTTAAAAACTATTATTACTGAACTCCTATAATGAGTGTGTTTAAGACTCGCTGTTTTTCCCACCTCCTGGAGGAAATTAGTTTTTACAATGAGTCTTTCAGGATTTGAGTAATATTATTTTTGGGTTTAGGTGTCAAACTTCACACATGAACTAGTGTAAAATGATAAAACTTCTGAATTAACACTGTTATAAGGAAACTGTGCAGTTTATCACAACTTTACGTCTTCTTCAAAGGTACAGGACTTAAAACTTCACTGACTGCTTTCATGAGCATAAGGGTTATATCTCCATCTGTCTTCCTGTATTAACGTCTGTGAAGTGTGTTAAGAAATTGTTTCTCTTAGCTAATAGTTTGAGATTGACCAAGCCCCCTGTTTTTTACTGCTTTTGTGGGAGAGAAGCAGAACTGTGTGTGTGGCTGATGGTGAGCCAGGCCCAGGCTGGCAGGGTGCCTGAGGCTGGTGGAGCTCGGCATGGCTGACACTCAGCAGCTGTTGGCGTTCAGCACTGTGTGATCACTGCTCCCTGTGGGGTGGACATATCCTGTATAATTGCTGATTGTTTTCTGATTTTAAACAGTAATACATTTCTCCACAAATGTTCTCCTGTAAATAAAATTACTATGTTGGAATACCGTTTTAAAAACCAAAGGAATTTACTTGTAGGTATCAGGTCATGTTTTTTTAATGTGATGAGTTGGAAGACTTGAAAGAGGGAAGATATGTTTATTTTTTTGTTCACTGAGCTTCTGATACTCCTGTGAGATATAGAGAGAAATCTTGAAAACTAGTCATATTTTATTTTGAGTCTTTGTGTAAGAGAAGTATTTGAAGTTTTTTGATGCTTTTTTTCCCTCTGATATCCATGCAGACACTTTTACTAAAAAAACCTGAGCTGTTTCTGATAATCTTCCCTTTTATGGTATCTTGTATTCCTAGACATGTCATTGCCTTGTCATGAATTGGAAATTTCAAACTTACAAAGATTTTTTGAAAACTAAATTTGAATTATGCCACCAAGTATAACTTTAAGTTTTAACCTGGTTACAGTCACCTAGTAAAGGACAAGATGCATCAAAAGTTTGTATTTCCCAGGATGATATGTAAAATGAACATGTTTGTACTCTTAAAAGAAGTCTCAAATACTGATAATCTGCTTTTAATGTGTGTTGAGACTAGATGCCAAGTTTATCTTGTTAAAGCCTTTAGTACTCTGCATCTAGAATGACTGAAGTTTGTGAAGTAGTATTGCTAATTTAGATGTTAGGATGTTCTTGGTGAGTGATCTAAAAGTTTTTCTGTTCTTTGTAGGCATGAAAATTTGTAAAGGTAATATGTTAATCATAGAGTAGTTTTTCTGTGGGTTTATGGAAGATTTCAGCAAATGTTTTCATCTAATCTCCTTTCTAGTATGTTTTTTTATGTAGCAAATGAAACTTAAATGTCAGATTTGGCTGGGAATTGATTTTATAGAATCATAGAATCATAGAATAGATTGGGTTGGAAAAGACCTCCAAGATCATCAAGTCCAACCCCTGATCCAACTCTAATTACTATATCATGGCACTAAGGGCCATGTCCAGTCTCTTTTTAAAAACCCCCAGGGATGGTGAATCCACCACCTCTCTGGGCAGGCCGTTCCAATGCCTGATCACCCCCTCTGTAAAGAATTTCTTCCTAACATCTAACCTAAACTTCCCCTGGCAGAGCTTGAGCCCATGTCCCCTTGTCCTGTTGTTGGTTGCCTGGGAGAAGAGACCAACCCCCACCTGGCTATAACTTCCCTTCAGGTAGTTGAAGAGAGGTCACCTCTAAGCCTTCTATTCTCTAGACTAAACAACCCCAGCTCCCTCAGCCTCTCCTCATAGGACTTGTGCTCAAGTCCCTTCACCAGCCTGGTTGCTCTTCTCTGCACCCGCTCCAGCACCTCAATATCCTTCCTGAACTGAGGGGCCCAGAGCTGAACACAATGCTCAAGGTGTGGCCTCACCAACGCAGAGTACAGGGGAAGGATCACTTCCCTGCTCCTGCTGGCCACACTGTTCTTGATGCAGGCCAGGATGCCACTGGCCTTCTTGACCACCTGGGCACACTGCTGGCTCATGTTCAGCTTCCTGTCAATCAGCACCCCCAGGTCCCTTTCCACCTGGCTGCTCTCCAGCCACTCTGTCTCCAGCCTGTAGCGCTGCAGGGGTTGTTGTGGCCAAAGTGCAGGACCCGGCACTTGGCCTTGTTGAACTTCATTCCATTGGAGCCAGCCCAACTCTCCAGTCTATCCAGATCCCTCTGCAGAGCCCTCCTGCCTTCCGGTAGGTTGACACTCCCTCCCAACTTGGTGTCATCAGCAAATTTGCTGATGATGGACTCAATCCCCTCATCTAAATCATCCATAAAGATGTTAAACAGGATTGGGCCCAGCACTGATCCCTGGGGAACACCACTGGTGACCGGCTGCCAACTGGATGCAGCCCCGTTCACCAGCACTCTCTGGGCCCGGCCCTCCAGCCAGTTCTTAACCCAGCACAGAGTGTCCCTGTCCAAGTCATGGGCTGCAGCTTTTCCAGGAGTATATTATGGGAGACAGTGTCAAAGGCTTTGCTGAAGTCCAGATAGACAAATCCACAGCCTTCCCCTCATCCACCAGGTGGGTCACCTGATCATAAAAGGAGATCAGGCTGGTCAAACAGGATCTGCCTCTCCTAAACCCATGCTGGCTGGGTCTGATCCCTTGTCCATCCTGTAGCTGCTGTGTGATTGCACACAGGATGATCTGCTCCATAACTCTGCCAGGCACCGAGGTCAGGCTGACAGGCCCGTAGTTACCAGGGTCAGCCTTGCAGCCTTTTTTATGGATTGGGGTGATATTTGCCAACTTCCAATCATGTGGGACCTCCCCAGTGAACCAGGACTGTTGGAAGATAATGGAGAGCGGCTTGGCAAGCTCTTCTGCCAGCTCCCTCATCACCCTAGGATAGATCCCGTCTGGTCCCATAGACTTGTGAGGATCCAGATGGCTCAGTAAGTCACTAACTATTTCCTCCTGGAATACAGGGGGGTTATTTGGTTTCCTCTCTCTGTCTACCAGCTCCAGAGGCCAGTTGCCTTGAGGGCAACCTGTCTTACTGGTAAAAACTGAGGCAAAGTAGGTGTTAAGTACCTCAGCCTTCTCCTCATCTCTATTAACTATGTTTCCCTCCGAGTCCATCAAAGAATGGAGGTTTTCTTTGCCCCTGCTTTTGTTATTAATGTATTTATAGAAGGACTTTTTGTTATCCCTAACAGAAGTGGCCAATTTAACTTCAAATTGCGCTTTTGTATCCCTGATTTTCTTTCTGCATGATCTAGCTGTCTTCCTGAATTCTTCATAAGTAGCCAGCCCTCTCTTCCATAGTCGATAAACTCTTTTTATCCCTGATTTCCTTCAGAATCTCCCTGTTTAACCAGGCTGGTTGTCTTCCCCGCCAGCTTGCCTTTCGGCACACCGGTATGGCCTGCTCCTGTGCACTCAAAACTTCCTGTTTGAAGCACATCCATCCCTCCTGGACCCCCTTGTTTTCAAGGGTTGTTTCCCAGGGTATGCTCTGGACTAGACTTCTGAATAGGTCAAAATCTGCCCTCCGGAAGTCCAGCGTAGAGGTTTTATTGTTGTTTCTCCTTGAATCTCTGAGTATTGAAAATTCTATTATTTCATGATCACTTTTTCCTAGGCGGCCTTCAACCACTATATCTCCCACCAGCTCCTCTCTGTTTGTAAACAGCAGGTCTAGCGGGGCCTTACCCCTGGTAGGTTCATTTACCAGTTGATGAAGGAAATTGTCCTCTATACACTCCAGGAAATTCCTAGACTGCCTCTTCTCTGCAGTATTGAGCTCCCAGCAGATATCTGGTAGGTTAAAGTCACCTACAAGGACAAGGGCTGACAATTTCAAGACATCTGCCAGCTGCTTGTAGAATAATTCATCCCCTTTGTCATCCTGGTAGGGCGGTCTGTAACAGACACCCATGATGATGTCAGTCTTGTTGGTCTTCCCCCTGATTTTGGTCCACAGGCGCTCAACCTTATCATTGCTGACCTCAAGTTCAACAGGGTCCAGAGACTCTCTAACATACAAAGCCACCCCTCCACCTCTCCTCCCCTGCCTGTTCTTCCTTATGTTAATTCTTAAAAAAATTTGAGCAGATCTAGTAAAAAAAAAAAGAAAGAAAATAAGGTAATTTTTTTTTTCCTCACATGAGTTAAACAGAATTACCTTTTGTGGTTTGTACCTGTCAGGTTTTTGTGCTCTGACTTTCTTAGCTTCTGGCAAGACCAAAATTGAGAATTTCTTGTAAAATAATTCAAAAGCAGTTAACAACAGTAAAAAACCACAGTAGCTTTTACAGGTTAAGAAACATGAGAGCTTTTTTTATTTCATTAGAGCCAACAGTTGTGCCAAGCACATCAGCTCGAGTGGAGCCGCAGGTCGTGAGTTCTGCTTCCAGTAACAGTTCCAGTACCTCTACCTCAGAGCAGGCCTCTGATGCAGCTCCCACCATCTCCACCAGCCAGCCCTCTGCAGCTCCAGAGACGACTCCCAGTCTTCCCAGTGGCAGCACTGCTGGTACTTCAGCTGGAGGTACAGAAAAAGAGCTTTCTGAGCTGTTGTGTTGCTTCAGAGTACAAAGAAGGTAGAGGAAGTTCATCAGCATTCTCTAGATTAAATGGCATTACTGCAACGTAACAGTAGTAAGTTGAGAGGACAGGAATCTGAAAAAGATCACTGATTTCTCCACAGAGATAAAGGAAATTATGCTGGACCTTTCTGCTTTTGCCTGTTGGAACGATTTGGTTCTAAGAAACGAATCACATCCTTGCTTTTTGGGGAGATGGAATGTAGTTCACTGGGAATTCTCCCATTGCAGTGTGTTACAGAGATGGGTTTTTTTAATGTGTTATAAGGAAGTGAAGGATTTATACAAATTCCTTGAACCTCCTTCTATAGATCACTTCCTTGGGAGCACATTATACAGACCTGTACTAGAGCTGGACATACAAGTAGCACTCATAACAGCACTGGAACAAGGCTGCTCTATCTGCAGGTGAGGTGAGGGACAAAAAACCTGGGCAGGCCTCAGGAATGTGAGGTCTTTGCACACTAACCACAGGGAGAATCTTTCCTCCTTTCCCTGTTGATAACATGCCTTAAATTAGTGGAATAAGGCAAGTGTCAGTTCACATCCTGCAGTGGGTAAGTCACCTGAACCATTCAGTTTTGATTCATTTGTCAGGCATAGCTAAATGTTATTTTTTGTATCCAGTGTGTTTTTTTTTAGTCTAGATTTGGTTTTCAGTTGGTTAATTATTTAATCATGAAGTACAGAGGGTTTTTTTGTCTTTATTCAGGCACTGCTTTACAGTGATCAGCTTCACTAATTTCTTTCGCTTGAATATGAATTTTCTTTGTCTTCAAGATGACATAAGAAGAACTTCATCTAATACAACACTGGAAACTGGCCCTCCGGCCATGCCAAGGTTACCGTCGTGCTGCCCTCAGCATTCTCCTTGTGGAGGACCTTCACAGACTCATCATGCCTTGGGGCACCCACATACGAGCTGCTTTCAGCAGCATGGCCACCACTTCCAGCATCACCACCACCACCACCACAACCCTCACCCGGCTGTCCCGCTCTCCCCTTCGTTCAGTGACTCCAGCTGCCCTGTGGAAAGGCCTCCCCCGGTGCCTGCCCCGTGTGGAGCAAGCAGCAGTTCTGGCACCACTTACCATGATCAGGCATGTTTCATTCTTGTGGATCTCTCACAGTCACACCTTGTGACTCGGGTTTTCAAGCTGTTACAGATAAGAGAGGATAGAACAGGGGTGCTGAATTATAAATTATTCTCTTGCTCTGCATTGGGCATTATAAAAGGCAACTTAAAAGGAGAATTTGAACTATAATATAGGAATGCAAAAACCTGAAATTTTATAGGAAGTTACAATCTGACAAGTAATCATTAGCAGTTGACCTCTTGATGACTATGATAGTGACTGTTTAAGCAAACCAAACATAAGTACCTTGAAATAACTCTGCCCATCATAGCTAATAATTGAGCTGCTTTGAGAGAAGAAAAACATGAAGTCTAATGTTCTGTATATAAAAGGTATAAAAGAGTTGTGTCTGTAAAAGCATTGTTTTTTAAGGCTTTTTCAGTAACTAAATCACAGCTTTAAAACAATACAGTTATAAGAAGGAACAGTCTTAGTTTACTATATGCAGAACTATCAATCTGGTTACTGTTCTAACTGTAATACATTAGGCACAACTGAAATGCTAAAAGTGGGGTTTGCATCCAAATATGTCAATGCACGTAGCTCCCGTATACTTACCGATTTATCCATCGGGGTTTTGTTGGTGTTTTTATGGGTTTGTTTGTTTGTTTTGGTTGGTTGGTTTTTGTGGGTTTTTTGTGGTTTGTGGTTTGGTTTTTTTTTTACAGAATCTGTTGTAATGAATTTAGTCCCTCACCAGATGCAAGAACTTAGTAATAAGAAATGTTAACCACATTTAAAGAATGTTCCAAAGTCAAGCCCTAAAACTTAAAACAGTTGCTTGTGATTGTAGTCATTCTTTATAACATCCTGTTTGAGTGTGACTTTGTTTTCCTTGTCTGAAGAATTGCTTGAAAAAAGCTGGTTTGTTTGCACAGCAGGCACTGCCAGTAGACTTAAGCAGCAGTGGTATAAGAAGTCATGGAAGTGGTGCTTTTCATGGAACATCTGCCTTTGATCCTTGCTGTCCTGGTTCTTCATCCCGAGCGACGATCTATGGGCACCAGGCTGGGGCTGGGCCGAGCCAGTCCCTGACAATAGATGGATACGGATCAAGCATCGTTGCTCAGCCACAGCCCCAACCTCCTCCTCAGGCATCGCTCTCCTCCTGTCGCCATTACATGCATTCTCCTTGTAAGTACTGATGGAACAGCTGCCCTGGCAATGTGAAAACTCTGTCTGCTTGCACTCATCTTAGAACTGGCCTAGCAAAACTTGTATTGAGAAATGCATTTGTTCAGGGGATTTGAACAGGATCAGTGGTAAAGTTAACATATCTTCTTCTGAGTGACTGTAATAACATTGAGAATTCAAACCTGTATTTACTATGAAAATATTTTTCATCTTCTTTTTATTGTAACAGTGGCTTTTTATCTAATTTTCCTTGGTTGGTCCCTTGTCCTATACCCCCAGTGAGTTCTGCTTTAGCAAGCTCAGAGTGTCAACTCAGTTTGTGATTTCTTTTTTTGGGTTTTGTCTCTACAGAACAGTGAACTGGAAAGGGGTAGGGATTGAACTTTTAAAGTTAAACATCAAACATGAAGTAAAATTGGGAGGGAATTCTCCCTGTTTATTCCACTCTCATGAGACCCCACTTGGAGTACTGCATCCAGATTTAGGCTCCTCAGCACAAGGACATAGACCTGTTGGAGTGACTCTGGAGGAGGGCCATGAGCTTGCTCAGAGGGCTGAAGCACCTCTACTATGAGGACAGGCTGAGAGAGTTGGAGTTCTTCAGCCTGGAGAAGAGAAGGCTCCAGGGTGACCTTATTGCAGCCTTCCAGTACCTAAAGGGGCTCCAAGAGAACTGGAGATGGACTTTTGACAAGGGCATGTAGTGACAGGACAAGGGGGAATGGCTTCAGACTCAAAGAGTAGGGTTATATTGGGTATAAGGAAGAAGTTCTTCCCTGTGAGGGTGGAGAGACCCTGGCACAGGTTGCCCAGAGAAGCTGTGGCTGCCCCATCCCTGGCAGTGTTCAAGGACAAATTAGATGTGACTTTGACCAACCTGGTCTAGTGGAAGGTGTCCCTGCTCATGGGAGGTAAGTTGGAACTAGGGGATCTTTAGGGTCCCTTCCAACGCAAACCACTCTATGTACCTTTCTCAGTGTGTATCACACAGATTTTTATTTTTTTCTTCTTTTTACCAACATTGGCAAACAGAATACTTTTGGCTGCAGAAAATGTAGGTTTCTTGTAGGGTGTATTACTAGAATCACTTTGTTTAAAAATTGCATAAACACATGTTCCCATATTGCCACTGTTTACACTGTTGTAATAGTGCTGAAGCACCTGGGTGAAGATACTTTTTAAAATAAATTTACATCAAAAGCTGCTACTGACCAAATAAAAAGTACCTGATGTTTTCATTGCAGATGCTTCCTTGACCAGACCACTTCACCATCAAGCTTCTGCATGCCCTCACTCTCATGGAAATCCCCCTCCACAGCCACAACCTCCACCTCAAGTAGATTATGTTATCCCTCATCCAGTGCATCCCTTCCATCCTTCAATCTCCTCTCATGCATCTTCTCATCCTGTTCCACCTCCACCACCGACTCATCCTTTAGCCAGTGCAGCTGCTCCAATCCCACAGCATCTTCCTGCAACACACCAGCCTATATCCCATCACATCCCTGCAACAGCACCTCCAGCACAGAGGCTACATCCTCATGAAGTGATCCAGAGGATGGAGGTCCAGAGAAGAAGGATGATGCAACACCCAACGTATGTCACAAATGTACTCAGAACAATATCTAAACATATAATTCATTCCCTTCAGGTTTGTAAAATGTTGCATGTGAGTCTCAAACTGTTAATTGCATGGTTAGGAACTGTTAGTGTTAGGCCATGGTAAGGAATGTCTTTGCGTACCGTCACAGGAGTGTGAGGAGTGAACCTGCTCCGTTACACCTCCCAGTAGTATCTCCAGGTAAGGCACCAATGGGGTGTGGAAGACAAGGGGACTGTTTCTTTTGCCTACTACTCATCCTCTGGATAACAGGCAGGAATTCCTTTTTAAGCTCAACAGCCTAAAAGTGTATCATAAGTTCTGTTCAAATGTGTTCCTTGACAGCATGTTTTGCCTTGTTAGTGATGTTGAGATTCTTTTTATCTAACTAATGCATTAAATTTAAATGAATAATTTATCAAAGGGTCTCTTTACCAAGTTTAATTCAGATTAGATACCTGCATATCATTACTGTGCCTTTATGTCTTTATAAGAGGAGGAGGAGGAGATTGATCACATTCACATATGGATATTACACAATGTTGAGATGTAGCTTTGGTGATGCTCCTGTTGTTGCTTAACTAGAGTCATTACACTAGTGTCAACAGATATCAGGTCAGTAGTAGCTTAGTATTGAATCACACAGTAGCTGAGGGTGCTTTAATTCTGGAGATAACATGTCTAAATAACCAAGGGAATTTTAGGAATGAGCTCTCTAGTTGTTGTTCCTAATTTTGTTATACAAATTTTACTCATAAGCAACTTCAAACTCATTTAATAGTTGAAGAGAATTTTACTTTAATTGCAACTTTTGAGGCAGATTCCAGGTTATCTATAAAAATATCTTTGGGCAGTAACTGCTCACAAATGGCACATGACAGAAGAGGCAGTCAACATGAGACAACAGGATATTTAAGGAAAAATAATAATAGTAGCTATCTTATCAGATCTGGAAATTTTCCAGTAGTTTGAGGATTGGAATTGTGAATGTTGGCATTTCTTAGCCTGGTGAATTTCCTTTCTATGTACAGAAATTGTAGTCAAATGTTGATAGTAGTTTTTTTCTTGACATTCTCTCTGAAGTCATCAATCCTAGGTCAGACAGTGCTGGTTTGCTCAGTAACATTTCTCCTCTATAGTTTTGATTTGTAATCAATCAGATGGAATTGTTTTGCCCTTGGTCCTTCTTATTCCCCTCTAATCGTCATACAAATTCCATGGAAAAATCAGTCTTGTATGTGTCTTGGCCCAACCTCACATAAATCAGATTGTATTCGGACAACCAGAAACTTGTGTGTATTTGCTCTATTATTGAGTACAGACTTGAAACTGCCAGCAGGCTTGTGCTTTCTTTAGATCCATGGCCTGGAATCTCAAAGTGTTCTTAACATGTTGTTTCACCCTTCATTTCTACAAATAACGTAAGGGATAGTCTAGCTGGTATCCCTTCTGTCTGACAGTGCAGGAGCTAGAGATTGGTTTGAGTCTCTGTTTCATTGTCATGGATACAACAGCTGGAACTTCTTAAAGCCTTGGAATTTGCCATAAAATGTGCAGAAGGCAGTGGATCAGGGGTGCACTGCATTTGTATGACATGGACTTCCTGTTTACTTTAAATCTGGTTACCCACTTTATATAAAGACTGTGGGATGGACAGACAAAGATTGTTACATTTATAGGTTATTTCTATAATTTCAATATGAGGGTTTTATTATTATTATTATGTGTTCTTCCAGATTTTTCCCCCTGTAGGTACTTGGGAAAGTGAAGGGGGATGAGACTAGAAGTAGGTTCTGCTGATAGTCCTGTTCCCGTGTTGGTCTATGCCATTGCAGAAAATGAACACTTCTCACATAATTTATAAGATTTCTCTGGACAAGTGTCACTTTACAGTGATTAGAATAGTGTGATGTTGAGGAAATTTTTACCTCTCTGGACATGTAAATTTACAAAATGTCTAGTCTGCTTTGTCAGGTAGTTTAAGCTGTTACCGACCCTGAAGAACATGTACTGCTGTTGGCAAAATCCAGGTTTCTAGGTTGAATAAAAACCCTCCTTTCTGCATAGAAAGCAATGGAAAGAATTACTGATTCAGCTCTTCCTGTGACTTGGAATTGGTAAAGTAACAGCAATCAGCCAGCAGGGGCTTTTTTTAAGCTTGGTTTTGTTGTGGTTTTTTTTTTTTTTTTCCAGATCCATAGTTGTTCTATACTAACTGGCATGGAAAAAAGCTGTGTGCCCTTATTACCTGAGCCATGACACTTTTCAAGGAAAACGTCCTCTTATTATTGTATTAAGTTATTGTATTACTTTAAATGCTGGTACAGTTTTACTAGAAATAAACTGCAGCAGAGCTGTAAGTGACTTAATCTCAATATGTGGCCTTCTCTTTCCTACCTGCTTTTTGAGGTCAGGATTAAACACTTTGTCAGCCTTTCTGTAGTTGTGTTTGCTGAGTGAAGGGCAGATCACTCCAGCTGAAGCTGGCTTGGGTTTTGAATATGAAATCTATGTTATAACTAGTCTCTGACTTATACCCAAAGCTGAAATTAAAATACTGCATGGGGAATTTCTTACGTTAAAGGCATTGCAGTAACTCAGTCTGTAACACTTTGGTTATAGGCGTTGCTGTCTTGATATTAACAAATATGTGAAAATAACTGTTGCTGGTTTCTGTTGTTTAGACGTGCTCATGAGCGACCTCCTCCACATCCTCACAGAATGCATCCCAATTATGGGCATGGGCATCACATTCATGTGCCTCAGACTATGTCTTCCCATCCTCGACAAGCTCCAGAGAGATCTGCCTGGTTAGTAATCAGACACTGTTTGAGCTCTGTGGGACTGGGGACAGAAGAGCATAACGTGCTGATCAGCGCTGATAATGCTGGCTGTAATTTTAAAAAGTGCCGCATGCACCTGTAGCTTAAAATTTGTAGATGTTGATATGGCTTTAAAATATTGCTTTGAATACTCAATGTCTTAAATATATTTCTAGTGGTTTTAGAGGCTTAGATTTGAGGTGTAAATTAGCATATTCTCTCTCCTCTTTGAACTTACTCAAAATTGCATCAGGCCTGCTTATGAAGCATGCACTTAAGTTCCACAATACATTTATTATTTTAAAAAAATATTTTGGACCATTAGGGAAGAGCTGCATGCTTACCAGCTGCTGTTCCCACAGCATGTGCTGCAGAGAAGACTCCTCTTGGGCACTTCAAATGTGGAGTCATCTCTAATGATTCTCACAATAAATCTTCACAGCTGTTTTAAAAAGAACTTTCAGTTAGGGTAGGATATGTTTAGCAAAGTTTAAATAAGGTTAGAAAAAAGAAATTCGTATGTACACCTGTTATTGTAGCTGTGCTGGGTTGTAGGTTTTCCATAGCAGTGAAATTGTACCTAGGAGGCAAGATATACCTTTCCTGTAATGCCACTTTCATTCATGTGACAGGGAACTAGGAATTGAAGCTGGTGTGACTGCAGCTACTTACCCTCCAGGGCCTTTGCATCCTCACTTGGCCCACTACCACGCACCTCCTCGACTGCATCATTTGCAAATAGGGGCACTCCCTCTAATGGTAAGGACGTAGCTTATGAAAGATTATGGTTGTAGCTCATTGTAATTTTGTTTGTCAGGAAAATTGGACATATATACATCTCTGCAAAGTGCTTCAGCTGGAGAACAAAATACCTGACTGTGTCTGTGTGTTACTCCCAGCTAGGGAGCTTGAACAGGCTCATTGTGTGATAAAACAGTAGAGGACATTAATATATCTAACTTCAGCTCCTGTAAAATGAAACATACTTGAATTAAATTGTCACTTGCATTGCAATGCATTGACCCTCTGCATCTGATTTTTAAAGTCCAGGTTCTTCTTTATTGAGTTTTGGATTGTTAAAAGGTACCAACTTTCCAACCAGTGCACGAGAATTAGTACTGATGCTGTTTTTTAAGCTGTATATGCAGCACAACTAGAATTCCATCTAGAGATTTGATTGTTTTTAAATAATATTTGTTATTCATCAACCTAATTCTGTGTGATAAAGTATATATTTGTAGTATTTTATATATATATATAATATATATGTATTATATAAATACTTTATATATATATATATAAAGTATATATTTGTAGCATTAAAAGTAAACCAGCGGGAGAAATGGACCTAACTCAAGAGAGGCTACAATTTACTAAAAAGCTTACAGTAAATACAATGATACAGAGAACTGGTTTTAACCCCCAAAGACAGATGTATAACCCAGCACCCTGGAACTAGAACAGAACAGTGTTTGTTGGCCCCTGTGCTGAGCACCGTGTGCCCCCCCCAGGTGCAAAATAAAAGGAAAGGACACCTGTTGGTCCAGATGACGGTCGCAGTGCTGTTGAGGTAACAATCACAGTCCTGTCCAAAGGGGCAGTCACAGCCCTGTTGAAGTTCTGGTTTTCCTCTGGATCCAGCGAGTGGTACCAGAAGTCCCAGGCTAATAACTCAACTGTGGGATTTACTTCCATTATTGCTGTGAAGTTTCTAGAAACTTCAGAGTTCAGTGGATCCTTATATTACAGTGTGATGAGAAATTAGTTGTATTTTAACTTTAATTGGGCTATTCCTACAACTAAAATGTTACATGAGCAAGTAGTTGGGACCCCACTGTTGACTGTCTTTTTAGCGGTAGAAGAAGAGGAGGCTGTGATAGGAGTCTTCTGAACTTTGTGTTGTAAAATATTTTAGGGACTCATGCCTTTCTGCTCAGTAGCTGCTGTTTCTAATTGGTAAAAGGGGCAGATGAAATAAGGTTCTTTAACTCTTCAGAAATTTGTGCGTATGTTTGTGTATGGATACCTGACACTTACAGTGGTAATTCCTGAGTGTCTGAGTGGAGCTGAAGCTGTTTGTATCTTGAGGCCTTGTACATGCTGTACTGACAGAATGTTTATCATCAACAGACTGCTGTAAGCAGCACTTCCTCTGGTGTTTGAGATCTGGCTTGAACCTTGCTGAGATCAGATTGGGTGTTACGACTTTGAAGTTGTGTTGAGTCTCTGACTAATTTTAGGTGTATTCAGATTACATGCACTGGATGAAGACAAAGGCAGGTTAAAGCACCACTAGAAGTTTTATATGCAAAGAGTTCAAAGCATTACAAATGCCTTTTGGTGAATCTACCCCTTCTATGCCAATAATAAAAGTCAAAAGTTTTCATTTGCATGTACATGAGAGTACAGTGGATGTGTCAGCAAAATTGATTTTGAATAGAGAGCAAGTAGTTAGTGGAGTTTTTCATCAAAAAACTTAGAAGTTCAACAAAAGTGCCATAAAAGGCAACAGATGAAGTACAGCTGCCACATTTTTGGTTTTTTCTGTGTAACTTGAGGAATAGGCACAGGGGAGGAGAGGCTGAACTAAGTAGAGTCCCTCTACTAAGTGGTAATGTTCTGAGGAGGGCTTTCTTCTCTCTGTAAGTACAGAGGGTACTAAATAGAAATTTCCAATTTCCAGTCATTAGTGATGTTTTTGATGCAGATGTCTTAAACTGCTGCTGTTCTTTTTGTTTGTTTGTTTTGAGAAGGGTTGTCTTTTAAAGTGATTGATGCAGTCACTTAACTAAAAATTTGCTTAGTGTTGAATCCGCTTTCTGAAATGCCATGCAGCCCTGTTGGCAGTATGCATTTCTGCCGTGGAGTACTAAAACCCCTTCAAACTGCCAGACTAAAGGTCATGATGGATTATTTGGGCTTTACTGACATTAGGATTCTGATATATCGGTTTCTGATTTTAGTTGGATGCAGATAACGTGATCTTCATCTAGTCAGTGCTGAAATACAGACTGCAGTTGTAGTCCTCAAGGAGACAAAGTGATAAAGATATGTGGGGGAAGATAATCAGCGTTCAGCAGCTTTGGCAGACCAAATAGAGGGTTAGGGAAACAAAATCTCCTTTTTCTACTAGCTTAGGTGAAGAAACTTTTACCTGTTTAAATGTTGCTTCTGGAGGAGTCCTAGATTAAAAGCAGTTAGGAAGAACTTGCTTCATATTCGTATAGGCAAGGGCCAGGCTGTTTCCCTCCTTGAGTTAACACAATTACTTTGTGACCCTGGCTTAGAGTAGTTTGTGTTCCAGTTGTTACTGTTTTAATGTGTGTGTGCGGAGGAAAGATCTGTCAGATGAATTCCACTGTGGACAAATATCCCCCCTGCTAAACTGATCATTTTTAGGAAGACTCAAGTGAGGATCAATGCACGGCATAAGTAATGAAATATCAGACGAGAAGGACACAGGAGACAAAGGCTTTTTGTCTGTCCCTCTGTTCTTCTCTGATGCCAGTGTTCATTGTTAGAAACCACTTCAATTTCTGTTTAGTCTGAATGCCTTTGGCTGCTTTTTAGGCACTGTTGATGAAAGACTTTTTGCCCTGCAGCAGTTATCACGTCTGGGGGGACAGGATGGCAATTTCTGTAATTTAATAAGCTGACATGGGTGCTAGTCTGAACATGACTTTTTTCATAGTGAACTACATACCAACCTTAGTTCTGATTACCACAGATACAACCTACAATTTTCAGATCGTGTTATGGTTAGTAGTGGGATCTGGTGATGGGTGGGTTTTGTGTTTTGTTTTTGTTTTGTTTTGTTTGGTTGGTTGTTTTGTTTGTTTGTTTTTGGGTTTTTTGGGTTTTTTTTGTGGTTGGTTTTTTTTTTTTAGTTTCTGTTTTATTAAATATATCTTAAATAATAAGGACTATCTACATGCTTCTTAAGTTGTTTCAGCTACTTGTTAAGCAAAGAATTAGCATACAGGCTGTTCCAGCCTCTTGACTCTGTTTCTTCTGCCTTTTTGAATAGTGTCCTGTGGAATGGGAATTTTAGGGGTGGGGAGTGTGGAAGGACAATTATTTGGACTTTGTAGTTTGATAGTATGGTGTAATAAATCTCTCTAGAGTTGGTGCAGGCTTTGAGAAGACTTTTTAATTTATCTGTGAACCTTGACTGCAGCTTGTCAGTCAGAGGGAGTTGTCTGGATCATAATGTTTAAAAAAAAAAAAAAAAAAAAAAAGCAAACCCACCCCTTCTTCTCCCCCTCCCACCCAAAAACTAAATAAAAACAACAACCAAAAAAGAAAAACCAAACAAACCTAAAGTTTCTTATGGTACCTTAACCTCTCTCAGGTGTTACACATCCAGCTTTCAATATGCTGTGCTCCCTTTTTCTTCTCTTGCAGAGCCTGACTGTTCTGTTCCTGTACCTGCTGAATGACTCAAGAGTGGTTGAGACCATCTTTACACTGAGTTGTAATAATTAGGAGGGGTTTGGAGGTACAGGACAGTAGGTCCCAGCACATTATGGTAGATGTGTGCTGGTCAGGCATACAGGTGTTGCAGCTCTAAGAGATGCCAAAAAAGCAAAACAAACTTCTGTAAAATATCTGAACACTTAAGGCTGTAACTTGGTGTAGTAATAATAGTTAAAGATGAACTTTAGATTAGCCTTGATTAGATGCATCAAATACAATTGCATTTTTCAAGAAAATGGACTTCTGTCATACAGCTTCTTCTTCTTAATATAAACATGAATTATTGTTCTTTGGGGTTTTTTTAGAATATAGGCTTTTGAAGAGGCTCATTTTATGTTCCCCTCAGACACAGGTACAGCTGGGTTTTATCTATGCCGCAGGTGTTAGTTGTTCCTTCACACAGTGTCTATGAAAACTGCAGCTTCTTCTTGTTTGAATTTGACTTAAGACATTGATTGGCTTTACTTTTTTTTGAGTGTTGATAGTAGCTGAGCAGTGAACTGAATAAGCTTACTGTTGGAAGTTGTTTTAATACGTATGAAGATGACACTTAATATGAACCATGGAATAGAAGGTCGGGATGGACAAGATAAATAGTATCAGACAGTAGAAGAATCTCTCCACTGACTATGGCAACTGAAAAGCAGAAAGATCCTGCAAAGATAGAGGGTAGCAGGGAAGAAAACCTCCCCTGCAGTTTAGCTGTTTCAAACTGTCTCAAAATGTTTTTGTTGCAAACGGCTCTGACTTGGCCTTGGATTTTTGTAGTTGCTGCAGATTTTTGCGATCACGGGAAGTGTCAATAGAAAGTGCAAAACCAGAAACAGATGATACTTGTTCTACAGGAAAAAACCTGAGCTGAAATCTGTAGGTCCAGAGTATATTGCTTTAAAATATATATTTTAATTTGACTGTATCCAAAAAAATATACACAAGCACTTTGTGCAGACTGGCAATGCCTTTAACTGCTTACATTCTTTCTTAGCTTTAAACTTTTCCTTTTTTCTTATGTTCAGTATGAAAATTACTGAAAATAAATTTCATTTGTGTATGAAACTGTTTCAAGAGAGCTGAAATATTTTTACTTTTGAAGCTTGATGGTAATTGTGAAAAAGATTTTCGTAAGACTGTTCTTAGTTGGGCATTATTGATAGTTCTCTCTTGCCCATCTTTTCTCCATCTTGTATCACAAATGTACTCAGTTAAAATCTTGCTATATTAGCAGACTGCTTATTCTGCAGGTGTAAAAGAACTGGGTTTTTCCTTACAGAGATGTTTTTTCAAAGTAGTGTTTTACTTGGCCAGAAGTATAAGCTGTATTCTCAGGATGTTTTATAGAAGAGCCTGTACACAATGTATGTTCAGATTATTTTGCAGAGTTGTTATGCTGTCCCCATCAGCATAATATGAAGACCTGTTTATCGTCATGAAAATACATCATCCCACATGATATTTCTGTTGTCTGAGTTCAGGAGTTTGTTGTGTTTTGTGCTCTGAGAAATTCCTGGGTTTGTAGTATTAAATTTAGTAGGTTTCTTAAACAGTCTCCAGTAGCAGAATTTGTTCCGAAGAGGAGACCTGTCCAGGTGCATGTCACTGCAGTTGGCAAATCCTGACTGCTGAGGCAATTGGAACTGTAATTACAGAATTACACAATACACCAGGGACTTTGCAGGTCCTGTAATGGTGTAGTATCTGCACCATTCCAAAGGATTATTTTCAAATCCTGGTCAATACAAAAAGCAGGCAGTGAAAATCACTTCTGAGACTTAGGTTAATTTTTGTCAGGACTTTCCCTTCCTCTGAGTGGTGGCAATTGATTCACAATGTAACAACAGGCAATAGAAACTTCCAAATGATACCACAGGTCTATGCCCAGTAAAAACCTGGGACAGTAAATATATTCATAGTGTGAGTGACCCAGTTATTTAAATGTGTTTTCTGTAATTGGAAGCTGAAGTAGAATTACACACTTAAATACAACATGAATTGTACATCAGTGATTATCTGAGACAGATTTCTCACAATGTAGTTTTTACAAATCAGTGTATTTTTAATTCACTCCCCCAAACTTCCTTTGTTACAGCTACAGTTTATATTGTCAAACAGTAAGATCTGTGACACCAACAGATACTGCTTACATGAAATGTTTAGAAATGTACATGAATATGCATCTTCAGTTTCTATGCCTCTAATTTGTTATAACTTAATACTAGTGCTGTGGCTCACAATTGGCACTATTAGGTGGTAATTTAACAAGGACCGTGTAAACTGCTTTAAAATAACCACATTCTGTGTTTCTTTTCTGGAAAAAAAATATTTAGGGCAGAGAAATCTCTTCTATCCCTGTCAGCTTTTAGTTGCAGTACTGGATTTGAAAACCACAGAAAGGTAGCTTACTGGTCTGTTCTGTGCTGTGAGTAGCTTTGTCTAGGCCTGTGCTTTTTCATAATGCATTCATTCAGTTTTACACCTTCATGTATGTTAAGCTTCGAAGTGTCTTCTGGAAAGAAGAAGAGCCACATGTGAATACCAGACTTCATGAATAATATGATAGCATGGAAATGAAGATAGTTCTCAAGTACTTAATGTTATTTCCACATGAAGTGCTGCTTAGAGTGCTCACAGTCCTCACATTGATGTGTTTTGTGGGATTAGGTAAAGTAGATCTGCTGATCATTGGGGTTTGGAGTTGTTTCACCTGTTCATTAAAAATTGCTACTGGTATGTTTCTGACAAAAAGTCAGTCCCATTATTCACTCATCCTGTTGGGGTAAAAATGGAGTGCAGAAGCCCTGCTGTGAAGGGGGTCCCTGGTATATTAACTGCCTTTCAGGTTTCCTGTATGAAAGTGCTGGTGGGATATAGCACTGAACCCTGATACTGTGTTCACTGCTTATATCTCTTAATATGAAGGAGGTCAGTGGATGCTTGGATGTGGAGTGTATTTAGAGTTACCTATGACTTTAGATGTGAGTTTTGAGTGTTAATTATCTGCCTCTAATTTTGAAGTGTGTCTGAAGATGTTCTGTTGTTTTGGGTAAGATAAGAATTTTGGCTGGTTTTTTTCAGTCTAAGTATTAGCCTTGTTTCTTCTGTGATACTAAAAACTTAAATTTGAGAATCCATAGCAAGTCCTTTTCATAACTTCATGTGTAGCTGTTAGGTGTTCTGTTTACAGACATAGGTAGATATTTTTGGTGGTTTATACAATGTAGTTTGAGGTTTTGAGACTTGGAAATTGAGTCCAAGCAATATGTAATGCAGATGCGGAGAGATGATAATGGAGGATCTGGTCTCACTTTGTTTTGCTCCTGGTTATGTTTAGAGGGCTCAGAGTGGTGTTTGTGTTGTGCTTTCAGTTGGAATTGTATGCTCAGGCTGAGGAGTATAAATAATAAGTGAGTCAATGAAAGCAAAAGGAAATTAAATTTTGTGAAGTGAACAGTAAAATACTGAGACTGTTCTGAATAGGTTTAACTGAACATCTGCTGTTTGAATAGGTACCAGACATGGCGGGCTACCCTCACATCCGTTACATTTCATCGGGATTGGATGGAACATCATTCAGAGGCCCTTTCAGGGGCAATTTTGAGGTTTGTAATAGAAAAAACTAGATAAATGTCAAAATGTGTCATGAGGGAATATGGGGAGGGTGTATGGTAAAGCTAGTTCTATATATAGATATAAAAGAATCAGAAGGAAAATACCCTTTATTTCTGGAATGCCCTCACCACGGTGAACTGGAACAAGAGCACATTGAGCAGAGGGTCAGTCAGAGGAGCCCTGGAAAGTGCAGGCGTAGGTGGTTATTAACGGACAGGACATCTTGCTCTGCCCTCCACCCATCAGTAGGATGGGGTAGTCACATGATATATTGGTAGAAGGTGTCTCTGAATAACTGTGCCAGGATCCTCCTAGTGGGGCTGAAACTTGGCCACTTTAACAGTGCTGTCCTGTTATGTAGTGCAGGAATTGAAATGGAGTGAAGAAAATAAAACAGGAGAAAACAAGGAATCAGATGCAGAGAGTTAATGACCTAGTCCACTGAAAATCTCTTCAGTGACATCTCATGGTTCCAATAAACTCATTGCTGGAGAAAAATAAATCAGTCATTATATTTCAACTTAATCAACTCTTTTTTATTCTTCTAAGCCTTAATGACTGTTAGAAACTAAATATTTACACAGTGTATTTTAATTGCCTTTTCCTTATTAGATGCAAAAGTACATGTGAACATACTGATAACTATTCCTAGCTGACAAAATTCTAATCTTTTTAGTAGTAAAATAGTGTTTCCCTATAACTTGAAATACCAGGCAGTGTTGTGTGGGTTTTTCTACAGCAGCCATCACTTTTCCCACACAACATGCTCTTTTTGGCTTTGCCTGTATTTGAGTAAGTTGGGAAATTCTTGAGTTTGTCATTCTAAAATTGGAAATGGGTTAAAATAAAACTTAGTATTTTCTCAAGGTAGTTGAAATAGTAGTTTTTACACTGTTTATTCCTTCATGATTTTTAGGAGCTGATTCACTTGGAGGAACGATTAGGCAACGTGAATCGTGGAGCAACACAGGGAACTATAGAAAGATGCACATATCCACATAAATACAAAAAGGTGAGGATTTCTCAAACTGTGGCCTGTCTCTAATAGTTCTTTGAGCATGTAATAATGGTTGTAGTTAGCTTAAACCTGGAGAAATGTCAGCTTCAAGGAGTGCATGTTTTCTCTATCTTGAAGTTTCAACGATTGTAAGCAAAGCTTGCAATGGCACTTCTTTCCCAGGGAAAATTTAACATTTGTTCCTTAGATAAAGAGCTACTGTAATGTGATAAACAAAAGTGGTTTGATATGATTAACTTGTCCAGCAGTTATGAGAAGCCTTGTGAGCAACAAAATAACTACTGGTAATAGCAAAATTGTCAACAGACTTCAACAAGAACACATAAAATATTTAAAGACTTTAATTTTTGCAATAAATTGTTCCTGTGCCTGCTTGGTATGTATCAATTTTAACTCTTACTCTGATCACTGGGACAGTGGGAAGGTAGAGTTGAATCTGGTACACAATTTTGACAGCTGAGGTTGTCTCTCAGTTGGAGTTTAGTATATGATAATATAGAATCCCATCCACACTGACAGTTCTTTCACACTTGATAAATAGTGACTTAAGATGCCACACTTGAAAGGATTTTTTTTTTCTCTACATGAATGAAATTAAGATATTTATACATAGACAGTAAGGAAAAGGACTGGTTGCAGCAATATGAAATTATTCTATTCACAGTCCTGCAGACTTCTGTAATTAACAGTAGTTAAGTCTGAAATGTCTGAGTTTTGCTCCAGTTGCTGGTTCTTGATTAATTTTGTTTAAATACATTTGAATAAATATTACAAAATGTTTTCAAAGAAATATGTGTTGAATATGTCTCAAAAACAGATTTTACTCAGTTTGTCAATAATGTCATCTCTACTAATAAGGTAACAACTGATTGGTTCTCACAGAGGAAACTGCACTGCAAACAAGATGCGGAGGAAGGAACAGAAGAAGACACAGAGGAAAAGTGTACCATCTGTTTGTCTATCTTGGAGGAAGGTGAAGATGTCAGGTAAGTAGCACTGAATATCAGAATGTGATGTTAAACATTCTGGCTTTGACACCACAGTCAAATATGGCACACTTGCAGGACTGCCTGGGTGAACAGTTACCATTAATTAATGTTTGTTGTTTAGCTAATGAAATAAAACAAGTTGCAACTGAAAACACACATTGTTCAGTCTGTATTGTCTTTCTGTAGAATGTAGGTTATTTTATTGCAGTCTTTCATAAGTTGACTGCCTGTGTTATAACACGAACCCAAGCTGATACCCTGAATTAATCAGGACTGTCACTTTTAGTTTTTCTGGAGTTATGCTACTTAAGCTATAACAGATTTTAATCAGTCTAATACAGCAGAATCCAGTTGATGCTTGACTTCATTGAAGCCCATATGCATTTCTTCTTGGAACTAGACAGAATGGAAAGGCTGTGAAACTTTTGGGAAAGCGTGGACCTGCAGAAAGAACAGACCTGAGTAGCAAAAGCCGTGTTTTGTTTTTCCAGCATGTGTGTGAGTGTCGAAATGCTGCACTAACACTGATGTTTCTCTGTTCTGGTGACAGGCGCCTTCCGTGTATGCACCTTTTCCACCAAGTCTGTGTAGATCAGTGGTTGATTACTAACAAGAAGTGCCCCATTTGCAGAGTGGACATTGAGGCTCAGCTGCCCAGTGAAAGTTGACACTGCTTTCCAGAACTCTTGTCCTCCCGCTCGCTCCCTCTCATCCCTCCTGGTACTGCAGTCAACCAAAGATGGCATGACTTACCTGCGCAGATGTGGAACATTGAACCTTAGAGTGCTGGCTCTGCTACATGGTACAACTAATGCTAGACCTACAGTTTATTGTAGAAGACAGTTGAGTTTCAGTGTATTTATAATTTTTTTAAAATTTTTTTAGGTTTTACTTTTTTTTCTTTAAATTCATTACTGTATTTTTGCATGGTTCCTTGTATTGCATTTGTTTGCACATATTATGGGCTTTGTGACCCCAAACTTGCAGGCAAGATTAGCTGCTTTAGTAAGTAGAATTGTGTGGTCTCTTTTTTTTTGGTTTGTTTTATGTAGTATCAAGCTTTGAAAGTATGATTTCACTCATTACTAACCTCGAATTCCTTAATTTAATCAATCATATTTTAGTTTAAATGTATAAAGATCATCTAGAAAAGGATAATATTATGTATTGAGACATTCCTTAATTAGGAAAAAATGGCTGCTGTATATTTACAATATCAGTTCTGAGTCAAATAACATCCTTAATACTGGGAACAGAATATGGACTATATTCAGTTTGACTGATACATATAGCATACTCATCACCAGAGTTTTTGTCTGATCAGATTTTTGTGTTTGTTTTAAAAATTTCAGCACAATGCAGATATATTTGAATGTCAATATTAAACATTTAGACTGCTGTTCAGATTGTATTTATCATTTTCTTCTATGTCTAGAAATTTGAATCCCTAACTTAAATATATGCTGCTGTGAAACAGCTCTAGTGAACACTAAATGTTGATTTCAGTTAGCTGGATTGTAGATACTTGCAGATTGAAAGACTTATTAGGGAAATGGAAAAAGAGCTTAGAATCTGTTTGGTCTTCTGCTAACTTAAGTTGAAGTATCTGCGCACATTGAGAGTTGGTTTGTTTTTTTTTTTGTTGTTTTGGTTTGGTTTTGGGTTGGGTTTTTTTGGTGGGTTTTTTTTGAGGGGAGGGGTTGTTTGTTTTTTTTTTTCTTTTTGTTGTTGTTGCTGTTTGGGTTTTGTTGTTGGTTTGTGGGTTTTTTTTTAATATAAAACCATTCAGTAAGGACTTTAAGCTACAGGGTTTTTGTTTGGGTTTATATACATGCATTCATAGAATTTCTAAGGATTCCAGGCGTGTCTTGGGATTTTTATTAGATTTAAAGTTAATAAAGTTAGCTAAATCCACTTGTCTCTTGTTTTTATTTTTCATTAGTAAATTAAAAGCCTGTAAATTTCTGTAGAAACTGAGACACAAATTATGTGGTTACCTAGTTTTTGCCTTGATCATAGGTTCCCTCTTTATAAATTACCAACAGTCCATCACTGATTGAAGTATTTTCTATAGTTAAGATTTGCTGCATAATATAGTATATAGAATTAATAATGTACTAACATTTTGCCTTTGGAGGAGGTTTTAATCCACATCAGGATTCAAGTTGCTTCAACATTCTTTCACATATAATAGATTATAGTTTATTTAAATGTGCTCAACATTGCAAAATGCAAATGTGCAAAAACATTGGGACAGTATTACTGTCACTTTGGAAAAGATGTTCCTCGGGGATCATAGATAAATATGTCAATTAGCTTGCATTAAGCCACCTGCTTTGTAAGTGAATTGAATAATAAATACCTTCAGTTTCTCTTGTCTTTGTCTTTCATAATCAGATGATATGTACAATGGTTTACAGTAAATCTAGAAGATGAACTGTTATGTTTACACTAAAAAATGATCCATTTATAAATATTACCTTATCTAATTTGATGCCTGTTTCTGTCTGGTTCAAGCAGCTTCCTTTTTATTATTTTTTTTTTTTTTTTTGTCAACAAACTTAACACCTCTGGCACTGAGGCTTTTAGTGGAGAGAATTTTTATTCCAGTATGTATGTGATAAATGGACCTTCTCAAGCTTCCTTGTGTTGCTAGAACTGAACTTAAAACCACTTTGTGCTTGTAAATGGGGGATGAGGGAGAGAGGCAGCCCAGGATCTGACTGCTCCTGTGGGTTTCTGCTAAAGCTTTTGGACATGGTGGCTGTAGGAAATTCAAAGACTGGAGTTGGAGCTTCATTGCTAAAAATGAATAAAAGTAGCTGGAAGGACTGACCAGACACTTTGCTTTCCCATGACTGAAAAGAAGGGAAGTTAGTTGACTGCTAATGTTTGAAGACTGATATTCACTGCTAAAAGGTTCCAAGAAGGTACTTGAGAGACATGGGACAAAAAAACCCAGGGCCTCTAAAATAATAGACCCTGGGGTAGAATCTCTTTTGGCTTTGTTACTGGACAAAGAAGCACAGATTTGGGGGATTTTTTTTTTTAATTTTTTATTTTGTTTTTAGGAAATATTTTATGGGTCTGATTTGAGTGCGTGGTACTAGAGGTATTTTAGTGGTCCATGATTTGATTTATTAGAGCTACTGATACTGTCTTGCTTTTAAATGTATGCATAACATTGTAATGTGATGTTGAACACTTTTGTCAGGAATCACGGTATTCTGATCTTAATGCTATTGCAGGGGCTAAAAAGCTGCAGCTTACTTCTGTTCCGGAAGGTTGTGACTTAACCGTAATTTAAGAGAAGGAGAAAGATTAGGCTTTTCATTTTGAAAATTTCCACCACTTACTGTGCTTTATATGCTTAGATGCATTGCCTTAAGTTTTCTGCAGCATCTTTGACTTTGAAGATAAGATTCTCAACAGTATGCATCAAATTACTTTTCATATGAAACTCCATTGTCAAAAGAAATCCTTTTGTATGCAATAAATAAAATGTTAGACTGGTATCATTCAAAATCTGTTTCTTATGCAAGTTTTTTTTTTCCTTTGTCTCCTTTTGGTCTTGTAAGTCTTGGTCCTTAAACATTACTTTGTGTACATGTATTAAGTGTTACAGGTCCTAGCTAAGAAAAAGTTACTTCAGTGAAGGACTGACATGTAGCCCCAATTAATTAGGTGGATAAGCAGTCATGTGGAAGTTTGGAATTCAAAGCCAGTTTAGGGGGATTCAGAGGAATTGTAATTAGACTTTTCAGTCAGTTTAGGCAGCTGTTGTAGTGTTCAAGTCTCTGAATCTTGGGCCTCGTTATTAACTTAACTTAGTGAAATTTAAAGTGAAAGTTGTAACAGCTTGTTCGGAGTGGTTTCCTACAGGGCATTGTGTGAAGCTGCTCCTTTGAACGAGGTCGGTGTGCTCTGGGTGGCCCCACAGCTGCCACACAGAACCACCTTGGTGCGAAGCGCAGGTGCGCCTTCATTGCTTCGCGGGCCGCTCCCCAGCTGTGCACGGCTGCTACCTGGCCGTTACCCGCAGTGCCGCTGCTTCTGGGGTTAAAACCTCCTTTTTTGGGACCGTGGGCTGGGCCGGTCCTGAAAGCGGGGCCGCCCCTCCCCCTCAGGGCCTGGAGCCGGAAACGGCGCAGACCGTTTCCTGCTGGGGCGGGGCCTGGGCTGGCGGGCCAATGGGACGCGTGCATCGTACGAAGTTAGCCAATGGGAGGGCGGGCCGGGGTTTAAAGGGAGTCGCGGGCGGTGCGGCAGCGGCCACTGGTTCTGCTGCGGAGGGCGCGGAGCGAGTCCCTCACACCGCCCTGCCCAGGATGGCGCTACCCGCGGCGCGACGCGTGCCCGTGAGTACCGCACCGGGGGGGAAAGAGGAGCCGCGCCGCCGATCCACCCCTGGGCCTCCTTGCCCTAACCCTAACCCTCCTTGCCCTTCGGCGGCGCGGGGGCCACGAGCTGGGAGAGCGGGGGCTCTGCCCTGCGGGGGGTGTTGGCTCTCGGCGCTGGGCCCGGCCGGGACTCCGCGGTGCTGGGTGGTGGGGGGGTGCGGATGGGCCGGGCCGTGGCGAGGCTGTGTGGGCGGTGTGAGGGGCCCCACCGTGCCCCGCAGAACGGGCCCTGCCTCCGCATCGCTCCCGGCCTTGGCCGCCCGCGCTTCCCCCCGCCGAAGGGGAGCGAGAAAACACCAAGCTGTGGATGGGGGAGGTGTGGGAAGGGACTACAGAACCTCTTCTCTGTGGTGATCGTCTAAGAGTTTAAACTGAACTCCACGAAAGGCTTGAGCCCTGGTGATTTCTTCGCTGTGCATAACAAAGGGTATCAATTTTTGCGTATATAGCTTAGTTTTTAATTTATATGCCATATGTGTAACAAAAAACTTGCTTTTTGCATCTTCTTGGAAGTGCTGCTATGGTTACAAAGTGTGTAAGTACAATAAAGGGTTAAATAGGAAGTGAGCACTCTTAACCTTACAAAGTATGAGATCGGGTACATTTCTCTTAATTTTACAACACAGTTCAGAGAGTACAGTGCTCTGAAACCTGTATAGAGGAGACTTTCCTCTGAATGAATGTAGGAAATAAAAGCTGTTTGAGCAATGGATAGCAGGCACGGGGTGGTAGTGTGTAATGGAGTTGGGTATTGGCAAATCGTTAGTCTCTGACAATTAAGCATTTGCAATTTTACCGTCTTAGGTCACTAGAGGGATGGAGAATGCTGTGTCTGACCTTAGAAGTAAAGCAAAAACTCACCTTCCTGGCAGAAGGGCTGCCTTGGAAGAAATCGGAAATAAAGTTGCCACAAGAGGAACACGCCTAACCAAGGTAAAGGAACATTTGAAGTCTCCGTCTAGGGAAAAGTTGGCCCCACTGTATTAATAATAGTTGTTTTCACTACAGAGAACAGAATGCCCCAAAGCATCCATAAAACCCATGAAAGGACCTAGCAAGACCACAAATGGAACTGTACTGCATAAAGCTCCAGCTGCTGTGAATCAAGTCATTAAAGAAACTGTTGTTCCAAAGGTAGGAAGTGATGATTTCTGTTTTGATTTTTAATTTGCTTTGCAGCTTGGAGCTCTGACTTCAGAATAGTTTGTCTGTAGCTGTATCTCATTTCCCTGCTGAAAAAGCAAAGCCTCTGTACTGAGGTTTCGGTTTAATGCATGTTGTACTTACAGGATGATGTTCCAAGTGGCAGAACAAGCTGTTGAAGTACTGGATGAAGTTTCTACTTTAGCTGGCAGTTACTAGAAGGTCCTTAGGTTCTGTTTGTGTGATATCTCAGTGAAAACTTGCTGCACTACAGTGCAAGTTTGATTTCAACTTGTGTCTAAAGAAGTTGTGGTAGTAATTAGAGAAACACGGGAACAAAGGAACAGTGATACTTAAGCACTAGAGACATGTGTTAACAGATATGGGGTGTTCCTTAGGCTTTGTCTCCTGTCCCTATGGATGTATCAATGCAAGAGGAGGATTTGTGCCAAGCCTTCTCTGACGTGTTGCTCAACAATGTGGAAGACATTGATGCTGAGGACTCAGAGAATCCCCAGCTGTGCAGTGACTATGTCAAGGACATCTACCTGTATCTGAGAGAGCTTGAGGTACAATGTGTCACAGCTGTATTGCTGCCTACAGCGCGGGTTGACCTCCCTACTCACACAGCTCTGTCTCTCCCACCCCTCAGCTGCAGCAGTCTGTCCGCCCCCATTACCTGGATGGGAAGATCATCAACGGGCGCATGAGAGCGATCCTGGTGGACTGGCTGATCCAGGTCCACTCAAGATTCCACCTCCTGCAGGAGACGCTGTACATGTGTGTTGCACTTATAGATCGCTTCTTACAAGTAAGATACTTTTCGTGTTCAGATTAGAAGACTTACTCAGTTGCTGTGTTTTTAAATGGGTTTGGGATTTATCCTTTCTTTATAAATTTAAGAACCTACAAAATCTACTCTTTGTGTAAGAGCTACTGTGGTGTAGCATCTTCACTCTGAGGCTGCCGCCCTCTTTGAACCTGTCAATACAGACACTTCTGACTCAGAATTTATGTTATAAGAATGAGCACTGCTATACTGTTATAGTAAACTGATAAATTTGAATCTGTTTATTTAGCGTTTGACATTTTGGGTCCTACTTTTTAAATTGCTGTGTTGCAGAGTCATCCAGTACCTCGCAAGAAGCTTCAGCTGGTGGGTGTTACAGCGATGCTTGTTGCTTCAAAATACGAAGAGATATTGTGTCCTGATGTAGCAGACTTTGTTTACATTACTGACAATGCCTACACCAGCAGTGAAATAAGAGAAATGGAGATGATTATTCTTAAAGAATTGAACTTTGATTTGGGGCGGCCTCTTCCAATTCACTTCTTAAGAAGAGCATCAAAAGCTGGGGAGGTGGGTTCTTGTCCTTGTTATCTAGCACTTTTCTATATTTGTAAAGTCTATCAGGATTGCTCCTGGCAAGTAAGATCATGTGATCTTACTTGCCTTCTGCTTAAATGCTGCATCAGGAAATACTCAGCTCTGACACTCCACCGTGTGGAGTAACCACGGCAGTGTCACTGTGGCAGCCAGTGGCACTTCACCTTTGTATTTACTGGGGCCTGTGTTCAGTCTTAGTGGCACTAAAGATTAAACTAAACATACCTTAGAGCAGAACCCTTGCTTTTAATCTTTTTAACCCTGTTGATCAGTGTATTTACTTGTAAAACAATAGCAGTGTTGCAGTTACAAATAACTTTTGGTTGTAAATACTGTTATTTAGGAATCAAAAGATAAGCTTTCTCTTTGATCCAACCTTTTTTCCCCACCTCAGTAGTTACTCAGCTGAGCTGTCCACACTTGAAGTGGTCTTCCAACTATCTCAACACACCACTGGGTAACTCCATTGAATAAGGTTCTCCTTAAGTCATTTTGCCTTCCCCTCCCTTGGTGTGTGTTACAGAGGAGCACCTGTATCCCCACTTGGGCACTGCAGTACCTGATAACTGTAGTTTCTGTTAAAATCCCTCACTTGGCTTTGTGTGTAAATTCCAAATGGCTGCCAGTCTAGACTGACTGGGACTCTGGTCTGGATGTGCCTATTAGACTGTAGTAAAGATTTTGCTGACTATTTTTGTTTTGTTATTGAATACAATGATCACTTCTGAATGATTATGATAAAGTGAAACCTTGTGGATTAACAAGCTCTCAATCTGGTAGGCTGATGCTAAGCAACATACTCTGGCAAAATACCTGATGGAGCTGACACTGATAGACTATGACATGGTCCACCATCGTCCTTCAGAGATTGCAGCTGCTGCATTATGCTTGTCCCAAAAGATCCTGGGACATGACAAATGGGTAAGAATTTTAATCAAACCTGTGAGGAGTTTTTTCTTCAGTCAACGGAAGTGAGCCATTACAAAAAAGTACTTCAGAAAATTGTGTTGGAGTTGGTAATAATGGTAATAATGATGGTTCTCAAATGACAGTGAGATTTTAGTGGTATATTTCTTTTTCTACCTGCCACTATACATCAAGCTGTTCAACTGTCTTTTTCAATGTGAACACTGAGGTACGAAAAGATTTTTCTCTTGAAAGCACTGAGGTGCAAAGGTCACACTGTATATAAAGGTAGATGTTCATAACTCTTGCAATATATGTAACATAATGAAATCCTGGCCCATGAATAGTGAATTGTAATTCAGCTAGTGGCTACTCTTGCAAAAGTTGCTTCTTTTAAGATCCTCTGCAGTATAGCAGTATGGTCCTTGAAATGGGTATGTCCAGACTTCTGCGCATCAGAAGTTACTCTGGATCTGTCGTGTAAGCTGACAGCTACAGTTTCCAGCACTTGAGGCTTAGCTTTAAGCTAAGGGTGTTTGCTGCCTGAAGTGACTGAGCAGCACTTCCTCCTTCACAAATCTCAAGTTTCCTACTGTTCTGCTGCAGGGCACAAAGCAGCAATACTACACTGGGTATGCAGAAGACAGTCTCCTGATGACTATGAAACATATGGCCAAGAACGTGGTCAA